TCCAACCCAAACCGTTTCAAGGTTCTCTTTTTTTTTCTGGATATTTTACAGAACTGATTTATACCTAGAAACACTATTTTCTGGGTGTATAATGATTCTGTAGCCTGACTCTTGGAAAGAACTGCCAGATTATTTTGTTCTATTTCTCCAGAGAAATGTCATGAGAATAAGTGCAGTTTTACAGTTGATTTAGGTACTGCATAAAATTACAGATTTCAGTAATTCCCTGGACCAGCCCATGAGTCAACAGACAAACAGCACATTCTGCTCCTGCAGTGGGAAACCCAGAAGGGGAGGACTGGGGAGATTTGTTTACTTGAAGAGCAAACAGCTAATCTCTGTAGAAGGAGGTGCCAGCAGGTATCAGAAGTGTCCAGAGTGACATGAAGCGATTATGGAGGTTCTCTTCTTCTCAAGGAAAAGTGAGCAAAGTGGGCTCAGTGATAGGTTGGGGGGGCTCAGCCTGAAGGAAAGGAGGCTCAGGGGAACCTTCTGGCTCTGCACAACTCCGACAGGAGGGGCAGCCAGGTGGGGGTCGGGCTGTGCTCTCAGGGAACAGGAGGAGAGGGAATGGCATTAAGTTGTGCCAGAGGAGATTCAGGTTGGACATTGGGGAAAATTTCTTCCCTGAAGGTCAGGCCCTGGCACAGACTTCCAAGGGCAATGATAGAATCAGCATTCCTGGAAATGTTCAAAATATGTGTGGATGTGGCACTTGGGGACATGGTTTAGTGGTAAATGTGGCAGTGGCTGGGGGAATGGTTGGACTCAAACCTTAAAGATCTTTTCCAGCCTCAGTGATTCCGTGGCAGGTTCAAAGGAAAGCATGAAGCCCGCTGCCTGCCTCTCCCTGTTCTGCTCCTCCAGTTGGGTTGGAATTCACAGCTAGCTGTGCCACCCCATGTTCTTGCATCACTTGGCCCAGCACAGGATGGGGTCACAGCAGGGGCTGTGCCACTGTTGAGAACCCATCCTCAAAGGCTCAGTACCACAGTACAGTGCCATCTTAACCTGTTGCTAGCCCTGAGGCCAGCTGTGCAGGAAGGCTCATTGTGTGACTGAATGCTCCCACCCTCCAGATCAGTGTCCAAGGTGCTTGTTGGGAATGGTCCCTAGGAGTGCCCAGTGGTACCCAGAGGAGCCCTGCTTGGCCAGGGACAAGATGGTGCCAGAGACCTTTCCCCTGCTCAGTGATCTCAAGGTTGTGTGCTCGGGGGGGGCGGGGGGGTCCCTGGCTGTGATTAATTCAGCGTATGTAGGCAGAGAGGCCCTGGAGAAAGGTCACAGTGCTGAGAATGTCCTGGTGCTGTGTGGGCCCAGTTTGTGTTTTCTGCCCCAGCTGAGCCCTGTGGAGCTGGAGACACCACTTTGCTCCCTGGGATGTGCCTGCACTGGGAGATAGAGGAGCTTTGGCTGCAGATGAAAGAATTCAGCTGGATGGGAAGGAATTCAGTGAGGTACGTGGTAAACCTGGTGTGAAAAATGACAGCTAGGACTTTCAGGAGATAGTTTTGGGATCATTTGTTCCAAAAATACCAACTACTCTCATTCTTCAAGTTGTGTTAGAATTCTGGTGTCCCAAGAGGGCTTCTCCTCCTCTGCATTCAGGGAATGTGCTGTGGGCTTGCATCACCCCTGAGCATCACTGCAGCTCTGGCTTTAATTCCCAGATTTGTTTCCCATTTTTGTCTGCTGCAGGTTGGAATGTTGCAGCACTGCTGACATTTGTTTTACCAGCATCATGTCCTGTAGGTGAAGGTTTTCAACATGCTAAAAAGGGTGTGTATGTATTTTCTTCTCAAATGTGCAGCTCGGGGTTTCATCCTATTTCTAATGCGTCACTTTTGTGCATATGAGTTCTCCTGTCTAACTAATTTTAAAAATGGAGTACAAATACAGGCATCATCACCAAAGGAAGGGAGAGGAAGGACAGACATCTGAATGGAAGAGGAAACAGCAGAATCTGCTGAGCTGGAAGGGACCCACAAGGCCCAGCCAGTCCAACTCCTGGCCCTGCACAGACACCTCAACAATCCCAACCTGTGCCTCCCTGAGAGCATTGTCCAAACACTCCTGGAGCTCTGGCTGCGTTGGGGCTGGGACAGTTTCCCTGAGGAGCCTGGGCAGTGCCCAGCACCCTCTGGGGAAAGAACTTGACCAGTTTTTGGGTGAAGGTGTATGAAGAGTGATCATAGCCAAAACCACAGCTCTAACCACGAGCATACACTCTTTCATACAAATATGGGAAAGACATAATACTATAGTATAGTTGTGCTGCTATAGTCCAAGGTGAGAAGAAACTTTAAGGTGATTTTGCCCAGAAATAGGCCAGAGCATGAAGACAACTTTCGGACAGCCTGGGGCGGTTGTGTGCAGTTGTTGTGGAAATGCTCATGGAAGATGATTCTTGTGCGTGTCTTTCTGAAAGCTGTATAAATATTCCTTATAAAGTACACAGCACCACTGCTAAAGCATGGACCAGCCTGGTACTGACTGAGGAATCTCCTGAACAGACAGGAACAGTCAGATCTAAACAATGACCTTGAACATGACAGAGCTGAGGCTGTGAGGAATAGCAGCACTCTGAAGGAGAGTCATGTTTCATACTTCCACTGGGGACTGCTTGAAAGTAAACTGTGCAAACCAGCAGGAAGAAACCCCTAAATCAGGCATTTGTTGGAATAATGCTGAAACCTAGCGTGTTTTGCCATATTGAATCTCTTACTGCTCTCTGTGTCCTGGCTAATCAAGCCTCCCCTTATCTCTAAATTGAGTAACTGTCCACCAAGCTGTGTTAATCAGTCGGTGTGAGATCTACACTGGGTCACTAAATAACTAGTATGAAATGCTCAGGGTGTAATTTGGATTTGGGCTGTGAGTTCTGTAGCAAAATGTTGATTTTGGAGCTTTCCTGCCCCTCCTCAGCATAAACGTGACTATGGAAGGATGTGAGAGTGGTTTATTTGGGATTGGGTGGGAGGGGAAGCCATACACTGCAATTTAGAGCTGTGTAGCTCCTCCTTGGTGATTAAGCTGGGTTTTCTCAGCCCTGGAGCTGGGATTGGGACACTCCAGTGCACCACCAGCCAGTTTGCCCGGTTTCGCTTACACTGTTTTGAAACTCCAGAAACTGAGGCTGGTGTGAAAGAATCACCGTGTGTGCAGGGTCTATAAATATGCATCTAAAGCATCTGAATTACCTTGTTGTACACCAGAGTCGGGCTCCAGGTACAGGGAGAGGTGGATGATGAGTGCAACAGATGGAGGCTGGAAAGATCAAGGTCCTGCCCCAGCCCTCTGAAGCAGCAGGGTGCCTGTCACTGCCTTCTTGTGTGTCTGGACTTCATTTCCTTACCTTGAAAGGGGAATGCGGAGATATTACCAGGCAGAATTAGACCTCTCCAAACCCCTTTTTCCCCTCTCCTGCACTCAGTGAATGATTTGTCCCCCTCCTTCCCTGTGAAAAATATCAAGAAATCTGATATCACTGTGACTTTCTTAGAGCAGGAAAATCTAGCAGCCCCACCTCCTGCTCTCCCTGGTTACACAGTGATGGTGCTTTGCCCCTGAAAAGTGAAGGTGCTGGATGGCAGGAGGAATTACTGTAGCTGCTATTCCAAGCCCCTTCCCCAGCTCTGTGCCAGTTAAAGTACTCAGGTGCCAAGTAGGGTGCAAAAAGGAGCAAGATTTCAGAGCAACACCGAGTGGGATAATATTCTTTAAATATTTTAATATAGATACCATTCTGCACTCCACAGAATAGTTTGAACTGGAAGAGACCTTAAATCTCATCTCATCTCACCCCACTCCACTGCCACGGGTAAGGAGCACCTTGCACTTTCCCAGGTTGCTCCAAGCCCCTTCCAACCTGTCCTTGGCAGGAAATGTTTGATTATTACGCAGATGTGAACCTGGAGCAGGACAGATGCTGCTGATGCAGTGGCAGGACAGGCACCTGCTCTAAGTGACCCTGCCTTGACGGGGCTCTTGATCTCCAAAGGTGCCTTCCAACCCCAACCATTCTGTGATTTTCTGTGGTTCTGTCAGCTTGTTTGAGGCATTTTTCAAACAAACATTTCAATGGGATACGAGGGACACACACTCACTTCTGCAGGGAGTCATCTTGCCCCTTCAGTGAGCCCGTGCAGCAGCAGAGCTTGGCAGAGAGCTTGGAGTCTGGGAGAGGTACATGCTCTCCACACCCTCTGTCCTTTCATCTGAGCTCCTCTCCCTCCTCCTCGATTCCAAACACTCCCTTGAACCAGTGTACATTGCACAAGCTCTGTGTCACCCTTCCACAGCTCAAACAGGCTTCTGAGCAAACAACAAAAATCTTATTATGCTGTCCAAGTGTGTCCTCCCTTTCATGGCATGAGCTGCTCCGTGGCCTTTACATCATCTCCCTTTGTCGCAGCCACACACAACTTCTGGAATTTAGCCTCTGCAAAGTGCTCTCAGCTCACCTCTGGCATCCCACTCACAGCTCACCAGGCCTCAGAAGCCTCAGGAGGGATTTTCTCTCCCTTCCTCTTTTTTTTCATTCTTTTTCCTACCCAAATCCCAAAACCAATCCCAAACCCAATTTGGCAGCCCAAATCCCAAGCTGAAAGTGAATCGCTGCTGCTGGCTGCCCTCCAGCATTCCTCTTGGAGCGAGTCAGGATCTGGAATGTCAGAATGTCAGAAGGCAGCGGCGGCGGGAGGGACTGGAGAAGTCTGTGCGTGGGTAAGGGCGCCAGAGGGGGGAGGAGGAGGAGGAGGTGGAGGAGGAGGATGGAACAAAACCCAACTTCAGCTGGACTGCCCCTTTCCAAACCAGCGTTTGTTCCTGATTTATGCTTTTGTGTTTCATTTAAAACGTGCAGCTCCATGCAGCGGGGGCAGAGCTTGCGGCCACACTCCGGAGTAAATCAGGGTTTGCTTTTCCTTTCCTTTTTTTTAGCTTTTTTTGGCAAAAGCTTCGTGTCTAGATATACCCAGCCAGTTTCCAGCTCACTTCTTGAGCCGGGAGTTTCTGCCTCCTGCAGTTCTGGGGAGAGGTTGATCCCTCTGGGCCTGTGGCACGCTCTGGACGAGGGGAAATGTCCTTTTGTGGAGAAGTCGGGACGGGGCCCAGGCAGTGAGGCTGGCACAGAGCAGCACCCGGCACTGGAGCACAGCAAGTCCTTGACACCTTCTCTGCTTCTGCTCGGACAAGAAACATTGTGGAACCTCAGCTCTTCCTGCAGCAGATTAATGCCTAAAATTATACGCCCTAAACAGGAGGGTTTAATTACCAGAGCTGTGAATAGTTTAATTAGTTTGTTCTGACCTTGGAAGAAGGACCTGCCCAGCACCGTAGAGCAACAGGAGAGCAAGACTGGTGTTGCTTCTCACAGCCAACCAGCCCGCGAGGCCATGTCGTCCCTGTACACCAGGAGTAAGGAATATACTCGCAGCAGGAAGGCTCAGTCAGACTCTCCCCCGTCCTCTCCTTCCCCGATCGCAAAGACACTCAGAGTAAGCAGCTTTTTCCTTTCTGTATTACCCTGCTCAGCACATGCTCTGAGCAGAGCCCGGTGGTGGTGGTTTGTTGTCTTACCCTTGGAGACCTGTGCCTGTGGTTTCCTTTGGAAAGAGGATGGTTTAAATGAAACTTGGGAAGGTGCCTCTGCAGCAACAGGTTTTAAACAGCTGCCAGAGTCCCTGCACTGGGATGAGCTGTGTTAGTGGTGTAGGGAATTGCTGGGATGGTGGTTTCCACCTAGCCTGGAACATGGCTCTCCTGGTAGCCTGTTGCTGGACGAAAACCTCCCTGATAAAAACAAGGCAGAACCTGACCAGCTTGTTAAACTGCACTTTTTCCATAATAATTTTGATATTGCTGGTGAAACGAGGTTTATGTTCAACTTTCATCCCTGGGGCTGAGCTGGCCTGTGCTGTAGTTTAGTAATTTCAACACCACAAAAAAATTGAATAAGACCACCTGTAGCAGGAAGCAAGTCAAGGTAGTTACCTATACTCCCCACACCAGAGCTGGTATCCTCCTCTCCCAAGGTGTTGGAAAGTTGGGACTGCTGCCAGGCAGTACTGCTGATAGCTCCACAGTCATGGGAGAAGCTGTCACAAACCCTCTGGGTCTGTATCATTATACAGGCAGCCTCTTCACCATCAAGAAATATTATCATGCTGGAGTCAAAGCCTGGAGGAATTAGTTTTTAACAGCCAGGCTAATTTTAGATGGGAGCATTAAATTAATTCCAGCACTGGTATTTGCTCAAATCAGATATGCATTGCCTGCTCTGTTGGAAGGGACAGATCTTGGTCTGGAAAAAGTATTGCCTGAAATATTTGAGTTTTAACCCACTGCTGTGGCATTAATGGAAGCAGTTCCTGACCTAGGGAACTTCAGCCTTGAGGCTTCTGTGGCTGCTGGTTGCCCTGGGCTGTTAACTGTAATCGGGAGCAGAAGATTTCTTTCTTCTGCATCTGGAGTGTCTTTGGGATGGTTCAGAGAATCTAAAGCTATCCCCTGTGGGCTTGGATGGGCTTCCCTCATCAGATGAAGCACTGCACTTACCACTCCTCCCTAAAGGGCCACACTATCCATCACCAGCCTGGTAACAGGTGGGGAACCATTCCAGTGTGCTGGGAATGGTTTCATTTCTTTCAAACCACAAGTTTTTAAGGTCAGGCATGTCAGACTGACTCATTTCTCCCTCTTATGCATCTGGGCATATGAGTGAATGACAAACATCTCACAAGAGCCCTGAGCTGTGCCTGGAGCAGACTGACAGGAGAGGCTGATTTCTCTGTCCAGAGCCATGGGGGGACTGCAGAACTCCTGAGGGTCCGTGGGTGTTGCAGAAGGTGGTGGGAACTCTCAGCTGGGTAGAGGTGGTGCTTGTTTCTCTGTCCATCACTGCAATGAGATTTGCAGGCTCCTGGGGAGCTGTGGGTATTGGAGAGGGAGGTGGGAGTTCTCAGGTGGTTACAGAAAGATGCCAGGTGGGAATGAGAGCGTCTTCTTGTTAGTGAGGTTTTGATGAAAACCAACACATGAGCATGGAAATCCTTGCAGTGGTAAGGCACTGCCAGCTGTGACTCCACAGCATTTGTAGGGAAAAAACAGGTGGGGAATGCAACAGCATCAGCTCAGGAAACAGCTCTGGTGCTATCTGGGATATGGAAATAGCCCATGCCTTAAAAGGCTGATCAGGGAAGGATTGACTTCAGGCTAAAATAAGGATCTGAGTTAACTCTTTCTCCAAGACAATGTAATTTTACCATGAGCAAGAGAAGGGAATTTGATTTACTCTGGGTTTATCCATGAGTTTATTCCTCCTCACCCACTCCCCCATGCCCACAGTAACAGGCCTGTACCACAGGGAGCTACCACCCCTCACAGACCAGGTAAGAATGTGATATCTTGGAGTCTTTTATCTTTCCATCCCGTCCATTGATACCAGTAGAGCTGTGGGCTCTAAACATTCCCAGCTGAGCAGGGGTGTGAGCACACACGAGCAGGCAGGAGCCTCACACATGGTGCACACAGGGAGAAAACTCGTGGAGAACCAGGCAGAGCAAAGGAGGTTTGACTTACCTAGGTACCAGTGCCAAAAGCTACATTAAATGTCGTTTGCCAAGCAGTTTCCCATGGCATTCCCTCTGCACTTGCACTGCTGCTTGGAATGCTCCTCCTTAGGAGTTAGGATAATATTGCCTGGGGTTTTTCTTCCTTGATGGATGGGAAGTCCCCAAATGCACAGCTAAGGAAGGGGGGTGCTTGCAGTGAACAGATGCAATCCATAAGAGAGGGAATATCCCTGCACAGGAGCTTATGGTGACAGTGGGATGGGGTCCCTGTGGCAAGGCAGCACTGTCCCATAGCCCTCCACAAACTAAAATACACAAATCCTGTTAAATCCCCCAGGGTAAATGTTGCTTTAATGAGGATGTTCCTCAAAAGAGGAAACTCAAACTCCGTTGAAATTAATGCAGATCATCCCATTGTTTGGCACAAGGTTCAAGTGCTTGGCAGTGGATACCTTGTCATCATGTTTTGCACTGTGGTGATTTAGCTTGAGGTTTCTCCTGAAAAAATATTCACTTCCAGTAATGTAATAGGCATCCAGTGGCATGAAACCTGTTGTGTGCATTTAAACAAATAAATGACAGGATTGGAAAAGTGAGAGTGAAGTCAAGGACTGATATTTTTTTTTTTTTTTTTTTTTTTTTTTTTTTTTTTTTTTTTTTTTTTTTTTTTTTTTTTTTTTTTTTTTTTTTTTTTTTAATTCCTATTACTGCTGGGCTGGTCATTTTTTTCACAGGAAAAGAAGTACCATGTAGTTTGTGTTTAGGCTTATCCATTTGTTTGTTGTGGTACTTTGTAATCCCTATGCTTCTCCACAGGCTATTGGTTAGGTGGGAAAACAAAAGTTAAGGAGAATGCATGGTCCTAACTTTCTGCAGAGATTCCAATCACAGCTTTTTATTTGTTTTCCACCTCTTTGTCAAACCTTCCCCTTTTTTATTACTGTTCCTTCTTGATTTATTAGCTGATTATTTTTCTGTAAAAAAGACCAACAAAATTTAAAATTGTCATCGATGTGTGTGGGCTGCTGTTTCAGTAGTGCCTACATCTGTGTGGCTGCCATCACTTGGAATCACAGAATGGTTTGGGTTGGAATAAATCTTAAAGCCCATATTGCCCCATGGGCAGGGACACCTTCTATGAGCCTAGGTTGCTCCAAGCCCTGTCCAGCCTGGCCTTGGACACTTCCGAGGATCCAGGGGCAGCCACAGCTGCTCTGGGCAGCCTGTGCCAGGGCCTGCCCACCCTCACAGCCAAAAATTCCTTCCTGACATCCCATCTAACCCTGCCCTCTGGCACTGATAGGCCATTCCCCCTTGTTCTGTCACTCCAGATCCTTGTCCAAAGTCCCTCTCCAACTCTCCTGGAGCCACTTTTGGTACTGGAAAGGGCTCTGAGGACTCCCTGGATCCTTCTTCAGGCTGGACATCCCCGGCTCTCCCAGCCTGGCTCCAGAGCAGAGGGGCTCCAGCCCTTGCAGCAGCTCTGTGGCCTCCTCTGGGCTCGCTCCAGCAGCTCCAGCTCCTCCCTGTGCTGGAGCCCCAGGGCTGGAGGCAGCTCTGCAGGTGGGCTCTCACCTGAGCACAGGGGCAGAATCCCCCCCTGCCCTGTGCCCACGCTGGGGGATCAGCCCAGCACAGGGGGGTTCTGGGGTGCCCGAGCACGGGGCTGGGGCACGCTGAGCTTCTCATCCACCAACACCCCCATGTCCTTCTCCCCAGCTCTCTGTCCTTTCTCTGCCCAGCCCGGTTGTGAAGTAGCTGCTTGATGGTTGTTACTCACTCCTCAGGAGATACTGTATAATTCTCCTTGTTCTGTCCATGCTCACACTTTCACTGCAAGGCTCTTCCCTCTGATGTTAGACCACTCCCATGTTAAGCCACCTTCAGAGTACATAACCTGAGCTTTCCAGCTGAATTTTATGAGGAAGAGCTCAGCAATAAAGCTCTAAGTGTACACAGTGGTCTGCACTGATTTATTTTATTCTGCCTTTCATTGGAGCATCTGAAGGAGCCATGCTGAGTGAAATATGGGAGGTAGGAGCATCACCTTTTATGGGCCGTATGTTTGCACCAAGTCACTTGATAGTAGTACTTGAGTATAAAAAGCAGCCATTCCCAAATGACCATCTCTGTTAACGAGCCCCCACACGAGCCCGTGGTGCTCTGAGCAGGGCTCTGAGCACTGATTGCCATGGCAGCAAATGCACCAAGGCTGGCTGCGGTCGTGTGCACACATACGTCGGGGAGGCAAAGCAAATCTTGCAGCAAAAAGAAAAGCTAATGCACAAAAATGTGAGTGGCTGAGCTGCAGGTGCTCAGCATGTAAATCACACTGACAGGGTTGGTGTTAATGTTTAAGTGATCATGAAATAACAGAATCCCAGAGGTATTTGGTTGGAAGGAACCTTGAAGCTCATCTCATCACACCCCCGCCATGGGCAGGGACACCTTCCACTAGCCCAGGTTGCACCAAGCCCCATCCAGGCTGGCCTTGACCACTTCAGGGATGGGGCAGGAATTATTTCTTCCTGATATCTGATGTAAATCTTTCCTCTCTTGCTTTAAAACTGCCCCCCACTTGTCCTGTCACTTGCCTGTGTAAAAAGTCCATGTCCCAGAGTGCTGGGAGGTCATTAGAAATGCCTGGTAGGATTGCAGCCTTCCTCGAGTTTGGAATATAAATGTGTCAGATGGTCAGTTTTTGCTCTGTGGTATTTTTGCAACAGGTTCCATCCGTTTCAGATATTCCTGGTCACAGGTTTATTCTCACATGGGGTTTTCATTAATTATTTAACTTGCTGTGCTGTCACTGCCAATGTATTAGAGAATAGAAAATGTTATGAAAATATTTTTCCAGGAACCTTTACTTTCCTGGGTTTCCATTTAGTGGCTTGGACCCGTTTGGTTGTGATAAAAGTGATGCTGCATAAATTGAAACAGGATCAAGTAAGTTTTCTCATGACAGTTTCTATCTAATTTCTGGATTGCTGACTAGTTACTCAGTGTTTGTAGAAATTATTCCCTTCTCTGCCAGAAGCCAACAAAAAATGTGGGATACTGAAACTTGAACTTTCAGGCAATCAACCTTTGTCTGTGTTCTCCAGCACCCTGCTTTGTTTTATCTCTGGTTATTCCTCAAGCATCGTGTTTCTCTGATGGATATCGGGATAAAATCCTTCTGCGTTGTTTGTCCGTGGGGGTTTTTTTGAATTTTCCTCTGTAAATGTCCATATCTGGAAGCATTTCGGGAACTTGTGGTCATTCCCAGGGCACCACCCATGAGATGTTCCCTGCTGTGACTCAGTAGCCAGACGGTGCTCCTGCATCTGCATGTATAAACAAGATGGGTCAGGGCATGGGCTGTGACCTGTGGGCTGAACGGCTTCTGTCCCTGAGGCTGAAGTTCCTTCAGCTCTCCTCCCTCCCGAGCAGCAGTATTGATCCAAGCCAAAGCTGGAGCAGGGAGTCTGTTAACTATTAAAGGCTCTGAGTGGTCATGGATGATTTGGAAAGGATCTGATGTAACACTTCAGCCTCATTTAAAACTCCCGTTTGACCCTCAGCTCCCTGGTCAGAGGTGTTGCCTTTAGAGAAGCTGGTTAAACAGATGGAGAGCAATCTCAGGACAGCTCAGCCTTGAAACCACGGCTCATATCACAGGAGGTCACAAGGTCAGGGGCAACTTGAGGTTCCACCAGAGATGGGAATCAGTTGGGACTTTAAAAGGGATGAAGGGAGGAGGAGAAAGACAATACTGTTAATTTGGGTCAGTTAATGGTACAGCCACAAAACCAGGGACAGAGAGAGGGGCAAGTGCTGCAGGATGGGAATGAGCAGCCAAGGAGTGATGGGGAGAGTGGGTGGAAGCTCTGTGAGCAAACCACTTCATCCTGCTGAGCTGGAAACCGGTGTCTTCTTCCCTGCAGGAGCCCACTAGAGTTCTGTTTTTCATAAAATTAACACAAACCCATCAAAAATAGGGCTGGAAGAGAGACCAGTTCATCCATTTCCCTGTGTACTGGCTGTTCTACTTATGCTATTCACAGGAGGTGGTGCATAGAATCATATAATCTTGAAATCATTAAGGTTGGAAAAGCACTCTAAGATCACTGAGTCCAAACATTAACCCAGCACTGCTGGGTGGGGGTCATTCTCTTCTCCCAGGTAACAAGCAACAGGACAAGAGGAAAAGGACAAGACAAAGAAACAGGACAAGGAGTAAATTGCACCGGGAGAGGTTCAGGTTGGATATTGAGGAAAACTTCTTCCATGAAAAGGTGGTCAGGCAGTGGCTCAGGCTGCCCTGGGCAGAGATGGAGTCATCATCCCAGGAAGTGTTCAAAAAACATGTGGATGTGGCACCTGGGATATCACACCTGGCAACATGAGTTAGTGGTGAGCATGGCAGTGCTGGGGTAACATTTGGGCTTGATGGTCTTCAAGGGCTTTTCCAGTCTTCACACTTCTGTGATTCCATGATTCCAGTCCCACTGCCATGTGCTGCCTGTGCCCACAGTGCTGTTGTGGAAATATGGCTGCTGGCTCAGGAGCTGTTCACTGGATTTTGGAGTGAACTTCACACTGAAAAGTTGCCAGTTGGCTGTTGGCAGCTCTCACCTCACTGCTGGTTCAAGAGGTATTCAATCCCTAATGAAACATCTGAGAACATCCTGCCAGAGTTTTTCCAGGGCAGGGAAGGGGTTCCTGCAGACCTATGGCATTCTCATCTGGAAGAAATTTAGGAGTAGAAATCTTTTCCTCTCATGTCACTTGGCCACTTGTTTTTTATTTCCACACGTCTGGAGAGTTTTGTCTAA